GACTGACCTAAGCCCTCTGCATGCGTGTGACAGTTGGGGAGCTTTTTCTGTCTATAAGGCTCCTAGCGGTGAGATCATGACCTGTCCCTGGTGCACTTAACTGGCTTTTGAGAACCTGTTCCCTGTGTTGGATTACCTTGCCCAGTATTGAGGCAGGGGGAAAAGCTTGGATCTGCCTCAGTTTGATATGCCATGCTTTGTTCAAGCTCATGGGAGGCTTGGCCCTTTCTGAATGGAGACAGGGGAGGAGTAGATGGGGCTGGCATAGATGGGAGGTGTGAGGGGTAACAGGAGGAGAGGAAGAAGGGAAAACTGTCATCAGTATGCAAAATAAATGAAAAATATTAATTAAAAATTTAAAAAAGAAAATAAATTGACTCCTTCTACAATGTATTCCCTTTAAGAGATCAATCAACTATCCCTTAGCCCAGTGATTCCACTGAATTATCTCTAACTTGGAAAGAACATCTGTGACTACAAAACATGCAGAAGGGTAGGAATGAATGGCCCTGGTCATCAGCAGGTATGACCACAGTTATGCAATGAAATGAGGCAGTAATACATTGGTGCCCAGATGATCTGTCGTGTTTATTAATGCTTCCTGCTCAGTTTTACTAGTAAATACCAAAGGTAGCAGCAGTAGCCCAAAAAGGGGTGCGGTGATCAGGTGTGAATTCTCTCAATGATAAAAGTCATCATCATCTCAGCAGATGAGACAAATTAGTGTGTGCCTTTTAGCAATACATCACTCTCCTTCTCCATGTGTTACCCATGTATTTTTATTGTTATCTTTGTTTTTGTTTTGTTTTTTGCAGTAAATTTCCAAATCTCTAAAATGTCTGGTTGCCTTACCCAACATTGTTCCCATTTCAAAAGTCCTCCAAACCTCTTCACCCCTTGAAACTATGAGAGAAGTAATGACCTAGTGCTGTCCTAGAGAATGGAAACCTAGAATAAACAGGAGAATTGGGATATGATGAATAATGGATGCTGGTTTGAGGCCAGCATGGTAAACATCGACAAACTTGTTTCACTAATTTACTTCTTGTAAGTTTCCCAAGGAATAAGAGTAACCAGAGTCATGGGACAAGCACAAATGTAGTGATTACACTAAACCTAGTCACCAACCATTGTTATAGGAGATGGGAGAGTTGTAGTGCAAATCCAGGGTCATTGTCTGTAGTCTCCCACCAGGATGAAATTATTTCCCTGACTGACATATCCTTGTCCTTGCCCAATTCTTGTCCAGAAATTTAACTCAACCACAAGATCTTCCTCATCCATAATAATGCTGTCTACCTACAGTAGCATATATTTCAGTGTCTGGTTCTTGAAAAGAATAAATGATCCAGTCTTTCTGCCTCATTTCTACCTAAGCCCAAAGGATTCTTTTGACTGCATATCTCATAGGCATGGCCTGGTTTTCTGTTGCAACTACACTGCAGCACAGCCTCTTCTACTGCCAGTATTTCCTCACTCATTCACATTGATCCCTCCTAATGACATATTATAATTCAGGCTTGCAAGCATCTTTTCTCATATTACAGTGAATTGAAAACTGCAATGGTAGCTCCATGATGTAACATTTGTCTTGTTATGAATAGAGTCCTTTGACTCAATCCCCAAGGCAGAAGCAAAGGAAAAAGAAGGTTGTAACTGCTTGGTGTTGCTGCTCTGCTACCCAGGAGGCCTACACAGGTAGTATATCAAAGCTCAATGGAGAGTATATAGCGATCTACTTTCTTCATTAAAATGCAGACGCTATGAGAATGAACCATCTTTAAAGCACAAAGGCATCCTTATGGAGAGGAAAAGATCATGAGTGAAAACTACTAATTTGTGCTGAGCAAAGCAAGAGATTCAGAAGGCACACAAAACAGAGGAAATTCCTGAGAACTATTGAGGGATATTCTTTGGTATTGGGTGGAACTGACAGAAATGTAGATGAAGAGCTCTGTAATACATAGAGGGTCATTTGCTGTTGCCCTTTCCTGATAAATAGGATTAATTATCAGTCCTAGGTCTGTGAGCATTTAGCCTGGTATAATCAGACGGACTGGACATGAACAGAGAAGAGTTTAAAATTGGGAAACATAATAAGAAGCTGTTGTAATAGTCAAACATGTAAACTCTCAGGAAAATAGTTAAGGTAACTAGTGATGTAAAATGCTTAGAAAGAAGCTTACAATAGAATTTGAGGTAGAAAAAAACCAAATCCAGAAAACAACTAACATATTTATATGTCCATACATATTTAGTTATGATTCACTGTAATCACATCTGTATCCATAAAGAGTGTGTAGAATAAATATGGAAACCAATTTCATCACACACATATCTATATTACTTATTATAACACAGAGCTGCTTGCTATCAGCAATGCCATCTCACTGTAGATCCGAGGCTCTGACTCGAGGAGGCAAGTTTTGAAGTGTTTCCTCGGGATCGAAAGGTTGCTTTCTGGAAGCCACAAAGGCTCGAGCTCTCCAGAGGAAATGCCCTACTAAGAATTCCCTGAAGTGCACATCTGAGTACCATTAGCAAAGGAAGAATGGTTTGTCTGGAATTCCATGGGGATCTGTAAGTAGAAAGGTCATTGCTAAGGCAGCAGGGACTCAGAAGGTCCAGGCATCCCACACTTGAAATCAACAACACTTGTGAGACAGGAAAAATAAAGAATATCGCACGCGAAACCTTGCATAGACATCTAGTAAGAACTGATCCACAAATATCAGGGTCATGTAACAACTCCAAGGAGCGCCCAGTCGATGACTATAAAAACTCAGGTCAGAAAAAGTGATAAGAAAGACATAAAAAAAAAACAGTTTGAAATACTGACGTAAAAGCAGGTCACCATGGACAATATATCTAACAAAAATGTAACATAATTATAAATCAGATTATACTATCCCCATCAGGAGATTATGCAGAGAAGTTAGCCATGAACAGCCTGAGGCTAATTATCTGTACTGCTCAGATTTATGATATTTCTGCTTGAGAAGTGACTGTTTACTCACTCAACCTCTAGTTCATTTTCCTTTTTAGAAAATGCCAAAAGGAGAATACCGTCTTACATTCTGAGACTATAATTACTGAAAGGTGAAGATCAAGGATTATGCTGAATGATCACACCCTTCAACATCACAGTGTGTGTATATGTGTGTGTGTGTGTGTGTTTGTGTGTGCATTACAATTTCTCACTATTACTGACCAGTAATACAGCTAACATGTTGGCATTTTGGGATAATTCTATGTTTCCGGCTTTCAAGAATAAACAAAATTTGTGGCTCTAACATCTCAAAGAACTAGTCAACTTTAGTTAGTAATCTGCGGAGGAAGACTCAGAAAACACAGAACTCTCCAAATCATGGTATATCCTTACACAAACACTAGGGGTATATTCATATTTGAGTGAAAGTGATATGTTAACATGTCAATCCTTCGATGGTATGGAACATATAGGAACCCTGATTATTTAGATACAGTGTTTATCCAACCTATGAAACATGAATAGGCAAAATAGGTAACTTTATGTGCTAAGGCTTTCATTCTGAGGTGGAAGCCTGTCTCCAGCCTGATCATAAATAATGTACCACAGCCCATCTCCTTCCTTTGGAACTAGCTCTTTGCATAGTAAAAGCAATGGCACATGATTTGCACAAATCTTTGCATATGTACCTTGCTGAATCTTTACAGTATCATTACATGTCTTTGGAGGAATAAAATCCAGGATGTTTTGACTATGCTCATGTATCTTCAGCTCAACATATTTAATGTGCAAAGGTAAACAAAGCAGGAATGAGTACTTAGTCTGGTGGCCTATTTCCTTGTTGTATGAATATTCAAAAACCCACCTGTTCAAACATTACACATGATCCCTGCAGAATAGCAGAGACAGCTTGATAAACTAGTTATATTTCAGCTTTTTATAATTAAATGCACCCTGACACCCCACAAAATGCAGTGTAGGATACCCTTGCTGTAACAAGCAAACATCTGTGTTTATAAAAACATTTTTGACAGCCTACTAAATGTTTTTTTGTTTCAGATAAATGAATGAAAATGGTGAAAATATTATTTCTTCCCTTGAGCCAGTCAATTTTCAAGAATTTTATGGTATTAGTAGAGCAGCTAAAAGATATGGAATGTATTTAGATATATCAGTATTTTGATTATCAGAATTGAAACTTTTTTCTGCTTCCAAGACATTAGTCTTTATTCCCTGGGTATCAAATCAGTCAAAGTTCCTCCCAGTGCAGCAGCTGTTGCTTAATAGTTCCAAAGAGTTAAGTGCTGCCCACATTGAACACAAATGAGTGTCTCAACAAAGTGGGCCTTCAATTAGCATTGATGGATTGACTTTCCTACAGGCAGTAAAAGCTCAGTTTACAAAGAGAAATCCTATGAGATTAAAAGATTAAAAATCCACAAGTTAAGATACTGGGTCTAGAATTTTATATTTGTAGCTATTATATATATATATGTGTGTGTGTGTGTGTGTGTGTATGTGTGAGAGAGAGAGAGAGAAGAATATCCTTTGTTTCTGTTTTCAAAAATGTTTTCTAATTTATTGACATTAGGAGATTAACAATATTTGTATCAATCTAGGAATAAAAAAGATGGAATTTGAGTAGCATCAAACATACTCTTGCTGAGGTATAGGAGTAATTTTAAAGAATGTGAAAAACAAGACTCTGAAGATAAAAGTGTTGGTTAATAATAAATACAACACCAATAATAAATAGTTCCTGTTGTTGAAAACCATTTCATTTGAATTGCTTAACACAGATATCTTGAATATCAACATTTTGAATGCTTTCCATGTATTTTATGCTAGACTTTAAGGCAGGTAAGCGTGGTATTGAAGATGGGCCAGATGGGACCATTTAATTTGAAAGCATAATGAGTTTCCTCTTCAGCTTTCATTGGAGTTGCATGGCTTTCCCTCTTGGTCAGGTGACAGATAGCAAAGATCCCCTTAGTCAAAGCAGAATCGAGTTTGTAGGGACTAGGCTACTGCTGCTCCAGCAACACTGTTCCTAACTCCTACATCCAAAGCCCCTGCTGGTCTCTGTATTTGGAAAGTGTGAGCTAATCAACTGAGCAGCTGCTCACCACCAAAGATGGGAAGTGGAATCAGCTCAGAGAGCAAGGAGTCAGCCAAGAGGTCCAAAGAACTGGAGAAAAAGCTTCAAGAGGATGCCGAGCGAGATGCAAGAACAGTCAAGCTGCTGCTCCTTGGTAATAGGTTTCTCTTTTGCTTCCAGGACCTGTCCTTCTATTCTTCATTCATGGCATACTCACTTTTCTCAAAGTTTAACTTTAAGTGTCTTCCCCTAGGAGGATTTAATATATGTTTACGATCGTGAGTGAACTGATTTTTATGTGTACTCTAAATATAATTCATAATTTGTTTTATGTTTCATACTTATTACATTTGCAATAATGATAAGATCCTTAAACTTAAACCGATAATATTGCTAAAACTGCTGGAGGAATAGAGCCTTTGGTGTTGCTGTACATTTGAAAACACGGCATGCCTTTCCATATAGAACACTTGTGTATTCATTTACTCATCCCCCAAATTGTATGGCTACTTTTCATTACTCCAAAACAAAGAACAAAATTTTGTGAGAACTCTCATTTCAATAGTTGCCCAAAATAGCTAAGCTAATTAAGATTATTTGTGTGCTACATATTTTTAACAAACTACTCAATATTCAGCGGTCACTGACATAATACAACAGAAATTGTAACACTTGCGGATGGTAAGTAGAAAGAAGAAACTGGCAGAGCTGGGCGTAGTAATATTTCAGTTCAGCAACACATGAGATTTAAGGGAAATTTATTAACTGTGCACTTCTACAGAAGAAGCAGAAAAGTATAATTGGACATATCAAAACCAGTGATATTTTAGCACAAATATATGACAATATGTATTAGGTAAATATATTATATAATATATTATGTAATAAATATATTATATAATCCAGGGGTGACTGGCATTTGGTGGATTCAGTCTTCCATTTTGCATTTTTATGTTATCAGGTTCCCCACATTCATGTTATTGGCTAACTAATTATCCAGGTAGCTTTGCTTTTGAAACATTGACCTTGTGTTACAGTATTGTAAATATGATCCCCAAAACTAATAAAAACCTAAACCAACCCAGAAACAAATGAAAATCAGAGCTTTGACATACTGATAACTATGTATTTACCCTGGAGCTAATTATATGCAATAGTAGTTCATTATTTTAGGATTGTGACTCTATCATGCAGCAAATTTCATTTATTTTTAAGTATTATTTTACTCTAGACTCACTACTGAGTTTCAAAAACCAACCATGGACTGTGTCCCTTGTTCCTCAAGGAAAGAATTGTTTTCTCTCTTTCCTTGCTGGAGTTCTGTGGCAAGGGATGTCCACAGGACTCACATGTAGTCACCTAGAGATTGACAATTAAGGAAGGTGAAAGTACTGTCAAACATCCATAGGGCTATGGCCATTCAGATAGGTGTGTTGGAGGAAATGGCCAACTGGACATGGATTGTGATGGGGAAGAAGAAGGTAAAATAATATGAACACCTGACTGAAAATGTGTCATTTAAAATAAAGTCCCCAAAATACAATAGTGTAATGAATAAAATTGAGATTTTCATAAATTGTGAATTGAGAGTTGGCAGATTACTAATACATATTGACTTTTAGAACCAGAAAAGTTTAGCACTCTAGGGAGATATTCATCAGGGCACAACCCAGTACATGTAAAGCTCTCAAGTGGAAATGAAAATATTCTAATTGTGCTTTAACTTGTGGGTTTCTTTAACTCAAAAAGTAACTTTTATTAACAGGGATGAGAAAGAATTATCAGTAGCAACAATGTGTCTTTCATTTATCCAAGATTAAGCTAGTTGTATACATCCCTTTTCATATCACTATATTATTTGCACCAACAATATGTAGACTGAACAGCTCAGATTTAATTTAATAAAACAAGTATATTCTGTTCAGTTTTCACCCTTTTGATTTACATTTGAAACATTTGACTATTTTCTCCTTTTCAAATCTGAACTCTTGATTTGATTCAGTTGTCAAATTCAAACAATAAACTCTGTTTCATTCTCATTTTTAACTGAACTCAAATTATCTACACTGTATTTCCATATTCACCTGGGCTTCATTAAGGCATCATACAATGTCTTATAGAACTAACTCATCCTCCCTATTTTCTCACCCTCAAATGTCTTGGGTTCTTGTTGATAAAAAATCAACAATATGTATTTAGCTTAGTTATTGTGATGACCAATTCTGAATTCAGCCCTGTACTTACAAAAAAGAGAAAGCTACTAAACATCATGCAAACCTCTGCTTTCTTTGATCCTCACTATCTTGGGTGCTAAAACAGAACATTAAGTTTCCTATTTGCCATGTATTGTGAAGTATATGTCAACACTGTGTTAATGGAAATATATCTCAAGGAGTCTAAAGACACAGTCCCCTCTAAAAGCCTGGTGTCCACATTCATGTTTTTGTTGTTTTTTCTTCCTTAATTTAGAGTCACCATTTTTTTCTTTCTTTGAAGATAGGTGGCTGCTTGGTGGTAGTGACACTTGCCTTTTATCCTCACTTGGGAATCTTAGGCAGGTGGATATTTGTGATTTCAAGGCCAGTGTAGTCTACAGGGTGAATTCTAGGGACAACCAGGGCTACACATTAGAGAAACCCTGTCTTGAAAAACAAAACAAAATAGATTCTTAGACCATACACAATATACAAAGTATTCTGATTATAGTTCCCACCTCTACTCTTTCCAGTTCCTCCCTACTTCCCCAGCCCTCCAGATCCATTCCCTTTCTATCCCTAGAAAAGAACAGGATTCTAAGAGATGACAACAAAACATAACAAGGTAAAGTATAAGGAGATGAAGCAAAACTTATCTTACCAAAGTTGGACATAGCAACTCAATAGGAGGAAAAGAGTCCCAAGAGCAGGTACAAGAGTCAGAGACCTACTCTTTCTCCCAGTCAGGAGTCCCATAAAGATACTAAGTTACTAGGGGCAATATATTTACAAAGAATATGGTGCAGACCCACATAGTCCCTGTGCTTACTGCTTTAGTCTCTGTGAGTTCATATGTGCTTGGCATTGCTTAGCTGATTCAGAGGACTTTGTACTCCTAGTGTCCTCCATCCCTTCTTGCTCTTATAATCTTACCACCTCCTCTTTCAGGAATTCCCTGATCTATGAGGAGAAGGATTAAATGGAGATCTCCAGTTTAGATTCTGTCTCCATGTCTGACTGCCGGTCTTTTTATGTGTTCCATCAGCTGCAAGACAAAGCCTCTCTGATAGTGATGGGATAAGGCATGAATCTGCCAGGATATCATTAGGAGTGCTTTTGTTGTTTATTTTTTTAACCATTTGTGTTTAGCTTCACCCTAGGTCCCTGGGCTTTCTATTCTTTGGTTCTTGGTTACCCAAGCATTGTCATGTATGTGTTCCTTCCTATGAATGAGCCTTAAGTCAAATCAGATATTGGTTGACTACTCAGGCAAGTTTTGTGCTACCATTACTCTAGTATATTTTGCAGGCAGGACAGACTGTAGGTCAAAGTTTTTTTGTGGCTGAATTGGTGTCCACGTTTCTCTTTCAGTATCCTCCCACCCCACCTCCCAACCCATCCCATGTCATCTACTCCTCCTCACAGGTGAGAGCTTCCATGAGGAATAATAAACATCTGGCACATTAAGTTTGGGCAGGAAAAAGCCCTTTCCCATGCATTGAGGCTAAGCATGGCATCCCACCATAGACAATGAGCTCCAACAAGCTAGCTGGTGTACCAGTGTTAGATCCTGGTCCTACTGGCAGGGGCCCCTCAGATAGTCTAAGTTTCACAGTCTTCCACATACAGAGGGCCAGTTCTGTCCCATGGAGGCTCCACCAATGTCTGTCTAGAGATCATGAATTTCCACTAACTTGGTTCAGCTATCTCTGTAGAATTCTCAATCATGATCATACATTCCTTGATCATATATTCTATTCCCTCTTCCCTCCCTTTGACTGGACTTCTGGAGATAGGCCTGGTGCTTGGTTATGGCTCTCTGCATCTGGTTCCATTCATTACTGGATGAAGGTTCTCTGACGATAACTGGGGTATTCACCAATCTGATTATAGGGATAAGCCAGTTTGAGCATCATCTCCCCTATTGCTAGGAGTTTTAGCTGGGGTGCTCCTTGTGGATTCTTTGGAAGTACCCTAGCATCGGGCTTTTCCCTAACCCCATAGTGGTTCTCTCTATTAAGGTATCTCTATCATTGCTCTTCCACTCCATCCCTTTCCCCCTCCTCCATCCCTTTGCCTTTGTTCTCATTCCCTTTCCTCTTGATGACTAAAAATGCTTCTCTCCTTCCACCTAAAAATTCATTCACTTTCTAATTCTCTTGCATTCGCTTAACATAGGTATTTTAATGGAGTTTTAATTGTTTATAATTTACAAATTAGTGTATACTCCTGCATTCCCTTTGCTTGCTTGCAATCTGAATTTCTATGGCTTAGCACAGAAATGTATACTTTCCTAAAAACAGAGGAGGGATGAAAGCAGAGTCTGAAAGTATTCCTGGGTTGTTTTCAATGACAAGAACACAACCAGGACTTCACGTGAGCAAATAGAACTAAAGGGAAGCACGGTATTTTTTCAGTGAATTTGAAATCAATAGGAAATGTCTAGTCTGAAATCACTAGGAAATTACTGATGAATTTTAAGTAAATGTTATAATATCTGTTATTTTGTATATATATACATATTTATACATTTTATGAAAAATGAGATTGCAAGTTTCATCAGAAATTTTCAGTACTACACCAAGATTTGATGTGATATTAGTTAAGGAAAAATGTTTAGAGAAAGCTTTGAGAAACAAAAGCCACAGAAATCTGATGGTACTTATGTTACAGTAAGTCAGAGGAAAACATAGTAGATTGACTTGGCAGTGTGTGAACTGTGAAGCACATGGGAGTCTTTGGAAATGAATAAGGTAGCTACTTAAGATATCTAACTTTTATAAAAACAAATGTATCGGTCTATTATAATTTCTTATTGTGGATGTGGGAATTAGGAGGGATATTTTATTGAGAGAACTATATCAAAACCTTATTCATAGTTTCCTATTTTCATGGATATAGGACAAACTTGTGATTAACCAAAGTCTTCTTTGGAAACATCAAGTTATTCTAAAATGTT